TGCCCCATTCAGACGGTGAAACTGGGTCCCATCTGCACTGTAGCAAATAAGCCACCAGCGCGGATAAAGGCCCCCTGACATGACGGGAGCGCATCTGCACAGGTAGAGCTGTGAGCTTGGACACCACCACTGGCCAAGCTCGAGCGACGCCCGCTCTCAACCTGGTGTCCGACTGCCATGTCGCCAGCCAGAGCTTGACTGTGTCGACGGGCAGCTTGTAGCCTGGGTCCATGTCGGGGCTTCGCAAGTCGAGCACAGTGGTGAGGCAGCGCCCCCGTCGAGAGGAGCTCGCCGCGTGCCCGAACTTCCGTCTCATGCTCAACATGCTGCTCCCGAAGACGCCCAACACCTCGCGGCCGTAGTGGCCAGCTGGTTGCGCCCCGCACTGTTCGAGGCGAACTGCAGGGCGGTACCTCTTCGAGGCTCTCGCAAACCGAACTATCTTGGAGGACATGGCGCCAGCCTTGGCAACTCGCTTGCGCGCGGTGGCCCTGGCCTGGCGCCCTGCCCCCATGTCGATGCCTAGGTAGGCCGTCTGCAGGACGGGGGTGACCTCAACTCCCTTGGCCTTCAACTTGGCCGATATGAACTTGGCGCCCTGAAACTTCGAACATAAAACCACACTCTTTGCTGCAATATTCAGGCCGTCGGCGTCGAGCAACTGAGACGTCTGATGCAGCACTCTGACCATGACTTTACGAATAACTTGTCGTGATCCTGCCATAAACTGTGACAGACCATCTATCCACAACCGCATGTCGACCAGAGGGTGCCTCTGGGACATCTGATCGAGCACGAAATATGTCATGCATCTCGCGAACCTCGTCCCGCTGCGCAATCCCTGGATCACGCCCCTCGTCGGTTGAAAGGGTTCCGAGAAACAGTCGCGCGCCGCAAGGGTGCGCGCGGACAAGCATAGTTGTAGTTCCAAATACAGCATCTGGGGCGGGAACCCCAACTCCAGAGCTTTAGTGGCCAGCCTGATCCAACATATGCTGTCGTAGAAACTCTGGATATCGACTAAACCATTGGAGAAATCAATGCCGAGCAGGCTGTGCACTTCATCGCTGAGGACTCTGGCGAACCCTTCGCGAAGCGCCGCATTGCCCGCCACTGCCGCGTCCCAGAAGGGTTGTGTGTCGGTTGACCAGGTGCTGATCCACGGTTCTCTAGATTTCGACCACACCCTCGGTATCATGCCCACACGGCCGATGATGCGGTCTCCTTCAGATTTCTTGTCCAACATTCTGCCGATTGCCAGGAGCAGCTGCCGCGGCCAGGTCAGACAAGCCTCAGCATCATTGAGAAGCTGAGCAAGTTCGTACAACGCCTCTGGGGGCAGGCGCTCTATGTCTACTGGTGATAAGCGGTCCACTCCTTGGCCAGCACGAGGCCTCATGGAGTGGGTCGCCTCCTGAATCATAGGGCCCGTCAGCGGTGGTAACGATCGCAGGTCGGCTTCAGCTCTAATGTCGCCCAGCACCTGAAAGAGCCTTAGACCATCGAAACTGTCGCCGCTGCTCCACAAATCATGCCAACGGGTGACCTTCCGATCGGTAATGGCTTTGGGATGATGTAGTACTTCACCTTTCAGCACGAGCTCTTCCACTGGTGGTGGCGGTGACTTGATGGACTTGTGCAGGACGGGCAGCGCCGCCTCGGTCGCCATCCACGTACGAAACTCCTGAAGAGAGATGCGAAGTGCGTTGCCCCTGGCGCGCTTGGTGGCGCGGGTGGCCACCTCGATCACGTTCTTGAGCTGCGGGATGTCTACGCCCAGCGGGCGCGAGAGAAGACTGATCCAATCTTGTCAACCCCACCTCTCCGAGAGGAAAACGTGAGCTGTAGTGGGGTAATCCGTGGTGAGGCGGTCGCACGCGTCCTGGATGGCAGAACATTGCGTGGCCCCGTTCTGGCGCTCGGTGTGCTTGAGCGCTCCCTCGAAGATCGTCGTGACCCTGCCCCACCACGATGTTGCTTGGTCCATCAGCGGCATAGCCCGTGACTTCTCGGGCATATGTACTTCGCGAACCACAGAAGAAGGACCATCCGCTCGTCGTGGGCCTCGCATGTCCTGTTCATGGTGGCCTTTGATAGTCAGCTCCAGCGTTGAAACCCAAGCCGCGTATCTACCGCTGAGGGCCTCCACATGGCGAGCTCCCGCGCGGAAAGCGAGGGAGTCCCTGGCTGCTGGCCAGGCACAGGGGGCTGACATGAAGCCGACATCAGAACGATGCTTGAGCCAACACGACGACGGAATGTAAAAAGAGGGGAGCGGATCAGCAGCAGCATCAGCATTACTGACTGGGGTTGCCGAGGGGTCGGGGGGAACCGAATTCTGAGCACCACCAGCCTGCTGAGACTGCCCTCGCTCCACGGGGTGGATATTCGAGCTTGACGGGCTAGACGAGGGCCTGGGACCAGGAGGGTTTAAACTGGCGGGCGAAACTCCAGGGCCCAGACTCCCAGGGTCGGAAGGCTCTGCAGCCCTGTCACGCGCCCCGAAGTTTCCCTCGCTGGCCCAGGGGCCCTCCTCCTCGTCGGAAAAAACAAGAAACTCAAAACCTCCAAAAGGATCGGCGGAAGGGGTCTTCTTCGGGACTTCGCTCCGCTGAGACTCGAGGTGCACTGGGATGGGAGGGCGACTCCTCGCCAAAATCCTGCGAGCCTGCCCCGCCAGGGGGCGACGAGCCTGGGCCCCCAACCACATCCCCAAAAAGTTCCTCGCACTCCGCACGCACTTTATCGCGCACACTCTACCTGAACCACGCGCTTCTTCTTTGCAAGAGAAGATTTAGAACCAGGGGAGGGGAGGGAGGAAGGGCGGGGCACCTGCGGCAGCTTGGACGGAAGCTCAAGGGATCCGGTGAGCAATTGGGCCCCCTGCCCACGGAACCTCAAGAGAAGACCACAATGTGTTTTACAGGGCACATCAGTGATTGCCACCAGATCAATTACATAAGGAATAAAGCTGGCGCTGGCCAAAGCGAAATCCCGCTCAGTGCCCGCGCTCTTACAACTGGCAGTGCACGTGACTCTGGTATTAGATGCAGACATCACAACGCCATCTACCTTCGAAACAAATCCTTGCTTACGAATGTCATCTGGCGCCATAATCCAGTCGGCCATCACGATCCACGGGAGCTGCAGACTGCGTAACATAGCTCCAAATCTAGCGAAACGTTGCGAGTTGCGAGCCGACCAGCCCTCCCCCGAGAAGCCGTAGAAGCTCACCGCGATGAAAGAAAAGCCCTTCATGTCCACAAGAGTCGCCTGGAATCCGTCGAGCGAAGTGTGCCCAGGAGCGCGCAACTGAGACCATGAACTGGCGAATGTCGAAATACTACGATGACCCTGAGCAAGCATCCACCCACCGCCCTCGTTGGAACGATGTTCGAAACCTGCCTGGACTGGATGCTCGTTGGGTCGAGCTGGGTTGCCCAGAAGCTCAGGCCCGCCTGGCGAGCCTTCTTCTGCCACTCGGCCATACTCTTGGAATCCACATGCGTCTCCACAAGCTGTACATAGTTGAAAACTGGATGTTGATCGGAGACAATGTAACCCCACGCCTTCGGCCCCGCAACAGTAATGTTGGCAAAGAACATGGAACACACATTGGTCTCATCCCTGGCTGAACACTGGTCAGCCGCACATGCAGTCGAAGCTGGAGCAGCCGCACCAGTCGACGGACTCGGCGATGCCACCCCACTCGACTGCGAGCCTCACTGGGGCACGCCTCCCGCGGCCGCCGCCGCTGCAGGCTCGGCCTGGGTTGCCTCGCGGGCTGCCCTGGCCGCCTCCAGCTTGACCGCCGAGATGCGCGCTGCCGCCTCCTGGATCCTCTTCTCGTTGTCCTCGGTGGACTCCTCAGGCGCCGCGGGGGCTGCTGCTGGGCCGCTCGCCGCAGCGCCCTGGCCCTGCCCCTCCTGGGGCGCGGCCGCCGCGGAGTCGCCCTCGGTGCCCTTCCTCTTCTTCTTCATCCTGTCGGAGATGACTTCCTTGAGCTGCGTCACGCGCGCCTGCCAGTCCTTCACCTCCGAGTGCTTGCCCTCCACAAGCTGCTGGGCCTCGCGGAGCTGCCTCTCCAACTCCTTGAGCTTGTCCTTCCCGTCGCCCTCGCAGTCCAGCTGGTCGAGCTCCTTGAAGAACGTGTCATCTATGTCGAGCCTGAACAACACCTTGTCGGCAGGTGCTGCATCTGGGGTCGGAGACACGACCCCCATCTGCTTGGCCAAGATGATCGCCGCTGTCTTCTTTGCCTCTTCACATCGAGCAAGAATGAGCGCCGTCTCCCTCTCTTTGGCCTCCGCCTTGACTAGGTTCTCCTGAGCTTTGAGAACACTCTGAACTGCCTGGTCGTGTCGAACCAATGCATCTTTCCAGGCTCCTGTGGCATGTTTGATCTGATCCTCAGGAGACTGAAGGGGCCGCAGAGCGTCGCGCTTCTTCTGCAACTCGTCAGAGAGGAGCTTCCTCAAGAGGGGGTCCGTGGTGGCACTCAGCGCCCGCTGCATCAGCGCGATCTGATCCTCCTGTGCCTTGGCCCCCCCCTTGCAGCTCCCGACGGCAGGCGTCTGTCCTGCTCCTCTGACGGCGTTGAGCTGCAGGTCCTGCGCGCTCTTGTCGCCCCCCTTGATGGTCTGCGGTTTGTACAGTTTCACCTGCCTCCCACATCGGCAACGTCTGTCGCACTGCAGGAGCACATGATTGTACTCATCCCTGCCACAGGCCTTGCACTTCGACCATGGCTGTGACATCTCGATCTTAGCCAGATCGATCTACCACTTCACAAAAGACTAAAGGGAAGTCTGGAGAAAGTGGGCGACGACCTGCCCCTCAAGCCCCCACGTGGCGGGGTCGAGGCCTGGTGCTCCTGCCAAAATGGTCTGGGCCCAGGTGGCTTGAGAGGAGGAGGAGAAGGAGGAGGAGGAGGAGGAGGAGGAGGAGGAGGACCCCCCCTGCATCGCGCCCCCCCCCCTTTGCGCGCCCTCCGGCCTCGCCTGGCAGCGCCCCGCACGGTGCGGTTGCTGCTCCGCGTGGCGGTCGCCCCCCTCGCGGGGCTGCGGCGCCCGCCACCCCAGGTGCCGCCGCGCCGGCGGGGCCCCGCGCTGCGGTGGCCCGCCTCTTGCAGAGGGGGAGGAGGAGGAGGAGGAGAAGGAGGAGGAGGAGGAGGAGGAGGAGGAGGAGGAGGAGCAGCGACGAGAAGCTTTCGGAGGCCTCCTGCCCCCTCCTCCGGCGAGGTGCAAGAGAAGCACCCCATGCCAGAGCTCGGACGGCCCTGCCCCGTGCATCTGTGGGTGTCGTGCGTGCTTCGGTTTTTTTTGTCTCGCAGGATGATCCAGGATGCTCCGCGATGGCCCTCGCCGAGAGAGAGAGAGAGAGAGTGCACACGCCCGAGCGATGCCAAGACCCGAATCCTCTGGGAGGGGACCTAGGTCAGGAGGGCAAAAACATGATCGACCCACGAACCCGGAAAGGAATGTAGAACTGTAACACATGGCAGCGTTTTCAAAGACACCTGATTGGGCGACGGGCAAATGCAATACTGAAGGTATCGATCTTGATGTACCCTGCCGAGGGCTGTGCTGTGCTGCGCCGTGCTGAATTGCGATGTGCCATGGCGCGACTGTGCTCTATAGCCTCGTGAATCAAGTCCTCCTTTGCATCCGAGTCCTGACCGAACTGATCTGGATCTTAAGCTCGAGCTGCCTGAACACATAGTAGCTGCCCCAGAGCTAATGGACAGGGGAACATGCCAGGAGGACGCGCCGCGAAACGTCCCAAGGGATGCGCCAGGCGACGTGCCAGGGGACGTGCCATGGGGTCGCACCGCGGGACGTGCCAAGGGGACGCGCTACGGAACGTGCCAATGGATGTGCCACGGGATGTGCCAGGGGACGCGCCACGCGACGTGCCAGGGGGACTCGCCAAAGGACGCCCCACGGAACGTGCCAAGGAACGTGCCAAGTTGCAATGCTGAGTGTATCGACCTTGATGTACCGTGCCGAAATCAGTGCTGTGCTGCGCCGTGCTGAATTGCGATGTGCCATGGCGCGATTGTGCTCTATAGCCTCGTGGATCGAGTCCTCCTTTGCATCCGAGTCCTGACCGAACTGATCTGGATCTTAAGCTCGAGCTGCCTGAACACATAGTAGCTGCCCCAGAGCTAATGGACAGGGGAACATGCCAGGAGGACGCGACGCAGAACGTCTCAAGGGACGCGCCAAGCGACGTGCCAAGGGACGTGCCATGGGGACGCACCGCGGGACCTGCCAAGGGGACGCGCTACGGAACGTGCTGGGGACAAGCGTTTCGCTCGAGACATCCTGTCAAAATCATCTGAATTCCTACGCGCGGGACGCTGCACGCGCGAGACATCCTCGGAATTCCTGCGAGCGGGACGTGAAAACAAGCATTTCGCCTGAGACATCCTTTGAATTCTGGCCCCCCACGAGGCCACCGCTCGAGACATCCTCCAATTTTGCAAAACCAGCGTTTTGCTCGAGACATCCTCAACAAATTATGAAAAACAAGCGTTTCGCTCGAGACATCCTGTCAAAATCCCAAGAAATCCAAACACCCGCGCGCGGGACGCGGCACGCGCGAGACATCCTTGGAATTCCTGCGCGAGGGGCGCTTTTCCGTGTCGCGGTCGGCTCTGCAAAAACCAGCGTGTCCCTCGAGACATCCTCAACAAATTCTGAAACCAAGCGTTTCGCTCGAGACATCCCCAACTCTGCAAAACCAGCGTCTCGCTCGAGACATCCTCAACAAATTCTGAAAAACAAGCGTTTCGCTCGAGACATCCTCAAAAATAATTCCGCCGACCCTACTCCCGCACGTAATTTATCGCAGAATAATTTCGCCGGCCCAAGTCGCAGGGGGGCCGGGGGGTTAACCAACTAAAAGAGAACCCTTGGCTTGCGCCCTTTCCGGGAAAAAGTGGGCACAGGGGGGTCTTTGTTTGAAGACGTGCCAGACGGAACCACCCACATGTTTCGAGGGAGATCAACAATTGGCATATGTGTGTAGGCGTTCGATTGCAGATGTGTCAGACAAAACCACCCATATGTTTAGACGAAACCAGCCCACCACCCATCAGTTCCCATGAATCGATTGGAGGCGGGGGCACGGTTCGGACTTCGCCACATGATCGACGAATTCCGAACCCTACCGGTGCCGCCCATCGAGTTTCCCGAATCGTTGATGGCCTCCTCCTCCTCCTCCTCCTCCTCCTCCTCCTCCTCCTCCTCCTCCTCCTCCTCCTCCCCTCCACCTCCTCCTCCTCCTCCTCCTCCTCCTCCTTCCTCCTCCTCCTCCTCCTCCCTATCCTCCTCTCCTCCTCCACCTCCTCCTCCTCCTCCTCCTCCACCCCTCCTCCTCCTCCTCCTGCCTTCACCTCCTCCTCCATCCTCCTCCTCCTCCTCCCTCCTCCTCGCCATCCTCCTCCTCCCTCCTCCTCCTCCTCCTCCTCCTCCTCCTCACTCCTCCTTGCCTCCTCCTCCTCCTCCTCCTCCTCCTCCTCCTCCATCCTCCTCCTCCTCCTACTCCCTCCTCCTCCTGCCTCCTCCTCCTCTCTCCTCCTCCTCTCCTCCTCCTCCTCCTCCCTCCTCCTCCTCTCCTCCTTCCTCCTCCTCTCCTCCTCCTCCTCCTCCTCTCCTCCACCTCCTCTCCTCCTCCCTCCTCCTCCCCCCTCCTCCTCCTCCTCCTCCTCCTCCTCCTCCTCCTCCTCCTCCTCCCTCCTCCTTCAAGATCCCCCGCGGATGGCTCTGGGATCGGCGCAAGGGCCCTCCCTCCTTGGCGCGCGGGCGCGCCTCCGGCGCCCCCGCGCCGATCGGAGAGAGATCCGGGCGGGCATTCCGGGAAGCCGGCGCGCTTCGTGCCGCGTTTGCCTCCCGCGGGCCTGGGCGGACAGCGAGGACGCTGTCGGGCGGCGTCTTCTCGCTCGGGCGGACGGCGACGACGCTGCAGGGCGGCATGTGGGCGCCCGCGGCGCAGAGCATCGCGGGAGGGTTGGGGGGGGGTCCTTCGCAGTCGAGGGGCGCGCGCTCGCGGGGAGCGGAGCAGCTCGACCTGTGGTGCGGGGCCCTGCCTCGTCTCCTCCGCCCCTCTCGCCCTCCCTCGCTCCATTCGCATTGAAGAAGAGGAAGAAGAGGAGGAGGAAGAAGAAGAAGAAGAGGGCGAGGAAGAAGAAGAAGAAGAGGAGGGCGAGGAAGAGGAAGAGGAAGAGGAGGGCGAGGAAGAAGAAGAGGAAGAAGAGGAGGGCGAGGAAGAAGAAGAGGAAGAAGAGGAAGAAGAAGAGGAGCCCCCCTCCGGATCTGGGAGACTGGGGGAAGAAGGGAGAAGGATGAGAAGGAAGAAGAGCCCTCTCCCCTTCCCGTTTCCATTCCCGTTCCCACTCCTGCCCCATCGAGGAGGGAGCGGATAAGATAGGACAGGATAGGATAGGAACCAGCGACGCTGCCAGCAACAACATGATCGACCTACGAACCCGGAAAGGAATATAGAAATGTAACGCATGGCAACGTTTTCAAAGACACCTGATTGGGTGACGGGCAAATGCAATGCTGATTGTATCGATCTTGATGTACCGTGCCGAGGGCTGTGCTGTGCTACACCGTGCTGAATTGCGATGTGCCATGCCGCGGTTGTGCTCTATGGCGTCGTGGATCGAGTCTTCCTTTGCATCCGAGTCCTGACCGAACTGATCTGGATCTTAAGCTCGAGCTGCCTGAACAAATATTAGCTGCACCAGAGCTAATTGACAAGGGGGCATGCCAGGAGGACGCGCCGCGAAACGTCCCAAGGGACGCGCCAGGCGGCGTGCCAGGGGACGTGCCATGGGGTCGCACCGCCGGACGTGCCAAGGGGACGCGCTACGGAACGTGCCAATGGATGTGCCACGGAATGTGCCAGGGGACGCGCCACGCGACGTGCCAGGGGGACTCGCCAAGGGACGCCCCACGGAACGTGCCAAGGAACGTGCCAAGTTGCAATGCTGAGTGTATCGATCTTGATGTACCGTGCCGAAATCTGTGCTGTGCTGCGCCGTGCTGAATTGCGATGTGCCATGCCGCGATTGTGCTCTATAGCCTCGTGGATCGAGTCCTCCTTTGCATCCGAGTCCTGACCGAACTGATCTGGATCTTAAGCTCGAGCTGCCTGAACACATAGTAGCTGCCCCAGAGCTAATTGACAGGGGAACATGCCAGGAGGACGCGACGCGGAACGTCTCAAGGGACGCGCCAAGCGACGTGCCAAGGGACGTGCCATGGGGACGCACCGCGGGACGTGCCAAGGGGACGCGCTACGGAACGTGCTGGGGACAAGCGTTTCGCTCGAGACATCCTGCCAACATCCTCAGAATTCCTGCGCGCGGGACGCGGCACGCGCGAGACATCCTCAAAATTCTTGCGAGCGGGACGTGAAAACAAGCATTTCGCCTGAGACATCCTCTGAATTCTGGACCCCCCACGAGGACCCCCACGAGGCCCCCGCTCGAGACATCCCCCAATTTTGTAAAACCAGCGTTTCGCTCGAAACGTCTTCAACAAATGATGAAAGACAAGCATTTCGCTCGAGACATCCTGCCAAAATTCAAGGAAATCCTGGCAAAACAAACGAATTAGTCGAGACATCCTCGAAATCCCTGCGCGCGGGACGCGGCACGCGCGAAACTTCATCGGAATTCCTGCGCGCGGGGCGCTTTTCCGCGTCGCGGTCGGCTCTGCAAAAACCAGCGTTTCGCTCGAGACATCCTCCAAAAATTATGAAAACAAGCGTTTCGCTCGAGACATCCCCAACTCTGCAAAACCAACGTTTCGCTCGAGACATCCTCAACAAAGTCTGAAAAACAAGCGTTTCGCTAGGGACATCCTCAAAAATAATTCCGCCGGTCCTTCTCCCGCACGTAATTTATCGCAGAATAATTTCGCCGGCCCAAGTCGCAGGGGGGCCGGGGGGTTAACCTACTACATGATCGACCCACGAACCCAGAAAGGAATATAGAAATGTAACGCATGGCAACGTTTTCAAAGACACCTGATTGGGTGACGGGCAAATGCAATGCTGATTGTAACGATCTTGATGTACCGTGCCGAGGGCTGTGCTGTGCTACACCGTGCTGAATTGCGATGTGCCATGCCGCGGTTGTGCTCTATAGCGTCGTGGATCGAGTCTTCCTTTGCATCCGAGTCCTGACCGAACTGATCTGGATCTTAAGCTCGAGCTGCCTGAACAAATATTAGCTGCCCCAGAGCTAATGGACAAGGGGGCATGCCAGGAGGACGCGCCGCGAAACGTCCCAAGGGACGCGCCAGGCGGCGTGCCAGGGGACGTGCCATGGGGTCGCACCGCCGGACGTGCCAAGGGGACGCGCTACGGAACGTGCCAATGGATGTGCCACGGAATGTGCCAGGGGACGCGCCACGCGACGTGCCAGGGGGACTCGCCAAGGGACGCCCCACGGAACGTGCCAAGTTGCAATGCTGAGTGTATCGATCTTGATGTACGTGCCGAAATCTGTGCTGTGCTGCGCCGTGCCGAATTGCGATGTGCCATGCCGCGATTGTGCTCTATAGCCTCGTGGATCGAGTCCTCCTTTGCATCCGAGTCCTGACCGAACTGATCTGGATCTTAAGCTCGAGCTGCCTGAACACATAGTAGCTGCCCCAGAACTAATGGACAAGGGGACATGCCAGGAGGACGCGACGCGGAAACGTCTCAAGGGACGCGCCAAGCGACGTGCCAAGGGACGTGCCATGGGGACGCACCGCGGGACGTGCCAAGGGGACGCGCTACGGAACGTGCTGGGGACAAGCGTTTCGCTCGAGACATCCTGCCAACATCCTCAGAATTCCTGCGCGCGGGACGCGGCACGCGCGAGACATCCTCAAAATTCTTGCGAGCGGGACGTGAAAACAAGCATTTCGCCTGAGACATCCTCTGAATTCTGGACCCCCCACGAGGACCCCCACGAGGCCCCCGCTCGAGACATCCCCCAATTTTGCAAAACCAGCGTTTCGCTCGAAACGTCTTCAACAAATGATGAAAGACAAGCATTTCGCTCGAGACATCCTGCCAAAATTCAAGGAAATCCTGGCAAAACAAACGAATTAGTCGAGACATCCTCGAAATTCCTGCGCACGGGACGCGGCACGCGCGAAACATCATCGGAATTCCTGCGCGCGGGGCGCTTTTCCGCGTCGCGGTCGGCTCTGCAAAACCAGCGCTTCGCTCGAGACATCCTCCAAAAATTATGAAAACAAGCGTTTCGCTCGAGACATCCCCAACTCTGCAAAACCAACGTTTCGCTCGAGACATCCTCAACAAAGTCTGAAACACAAGCGTTTCGCTAGGGACATCCTCAAAAATAATTCCGCCGGCCCTACTCCCGCACGTAATTTATCGCAGAATAATTTCGCCGGCCCAAGTCGCAGGGGGGCCGGGGGGTTAACCTACTAAAAGAGAACCCTGGGCCCGCGCCCTTTCCGGGAAAAACCATACTGAAAAGAGGCAGCCTTTCTAGGTCGGCCTTGCTTAGGACTTTTGGGGCCCCCCTTTCGACTGCCCGCTTCCACTCCCCGTTGCCTCCCCGACTCACCTGAGCAGCCTCGCATCCTTCCGCCCTCCGCACTCGCCCTGCCCATCCCTCGTCATCCTCTGACGTATCTTTGCCCTCGCTCGGAGCACGTGATGGTTTTCCTCCTCCTCCTCCTCCTCCTTCTCCTCCTCCTCCTCCTCCTCCTCCTCCTTCTCCTCCTCCAACTTCTCCTCCTCCTCCTCCTCCTCCTTCTCCACCTCCTCTTCCTTCATCTTCTTCATCCTCCACCCCCCTCCTCACTCCTTCAGGCCCCCCCTCAATCCCACCCTGCCCCCTCGGAGGACTCCAATGAGGAGCAGGTCGAAAACCCAAAAGCCCACCCCCGTGACTGCATTGGAATATTTCTCCGAGGGAGTACGGAAAGAGGGACGAGAAATGGAGGGAAGGCGGCAGGAAGCGAGGAGGCGGGGGGGAAGGAGGAAAAAGGCAAAGAGGAAGGGAAAGCGGGAGGTACTGAGACATGAGAAGGGAGGGAGCGGGGAGGGCAGGGGGAGGGGGAGGAGGAGAAGGAGGCGGCGGAGGAGGAGCGATCCCAAAATGCCCCCCTGTGTCATCACTACCGGCGAGCACTCTAGAGCCCTCCCGAGCCCCCCACCCCACCAACAACATGATCGACCCACGAACCCGGAAAGGAATATAGAAATGTAAGGCATGGCAACGTTTGAAAGACACCTGATTGGGCGACGGGCAAATGCAATGCTTAACGTATCGATTTTGATGTACCGTGCCGAGAGCTGTGCTGTGCTGCGCTGTGCTGAACTGCGATGTGCCATGCCGCGATTGTGCTCTATAGCGTTGTGGATCGAGTCCTCCTTTGCATCCGAATCCTGACCGAACTGATCTGGATCTTAAGCTCGAGCTGCCTCAGCACATAGTAGCTGCCTCAGAGCTAACTGACAGGGGAACATGCCAGGAGGACGCGCCGCGGAACGTCCCAAGGGACGCGCCAGGCGACGTGCCAAGGGACGTGCCACGAAAACGCACCGCGGGACGTGCCGAGGGGACGCGCTACGGAACGTGCCAATGGACGTGCCAATGGACGTGCCAGGAGACGCGCCGCGCGACGTGCCAGGGGGACTCGCCACGGGACGCGCCACGGAACGTGCCGAAGTTGCAATGCTGAGTGTATCGATCTTGATGTACCGTGCCGTGGGCTGTGCTGTGCTGCGCTGTGCTGAACTGCGACGTGCCATGCCGCGATTGTGCTCTATAGCGTTGTGGATCGAGTCCTCCTTTGCACACGAGTCCTGACCGAACCGACCTAGATCTTAAGCTCGAGCGGCCTCAGCACATAGTAGCTGCCCCAGAGCTAATGGACAGGGGGACATGCCAGGAGGACGCGCCGCGGAACGTCCCAAGGGACGCGCCAGGCGACGTGCCAAGGGACGTGCCATGGGCACGCACCGCGGGACGTGCCAAGGGGACGCGCTACGGAACGAGCCAATGGACGTGCACCGCGCGACGTGCCAGGGGGACTCGCCACGGGACGCTCCGCGGAACGTGCCAGGCAACGT